GAAACGAAACTTAAACTAATTGTATTTAAAATAATTCTTGAAGCATTCTTGAAACATTAAATATAATATATTCAAAAAAAATATATATATATATATACATATACATAATAAACAAATACATACATACACATATATACATATGTATATAAGATAACAATTTTATATGAATATTTCATTGCTTTAAAATATATTTTATTACTCTACAACTATTACAATCAAAATATAAAAAAATTTATTCAACTTACCTCATTCAATCGTTTCTTGTAATCATATAATGTATTTTGTACTCTTAAAGACGGTGGAACAAACCAAAAGCATACATTTATAAAGCACGGTTCCGTCACTAATTTAAAGCCATCTCTTTTCTCAACTTCTTCTTTGAAAAGAGTCGAAAATCTCATTAAATGATCGACGTGCTTTTCAAATCCTGAAGTACCCTAAAATGGATTTAATTTAAGTTCATTTAATTCTTCATATATCTTTATAGAAATTATTTTGGTCGATGATATATAAAATGACAACAATTAGAATTAAATTAATTGGAAGTTTTTCTTTGCCTGTATTAAAAGAAAATAATTTTCAAATAGTACCTCTCTCTTTAAACTGTGACGGAAGTGAAATATCTTAAACATAATTTACAAATTCTATAACCAGTCTATATAATATAAGCACTATGAAACTTTGGCAAGAAATATCAGATTTATGCATTAAATAAAAATATTTGTCATATAATATCCGTAATATTTGAAATAGCTGCGATATGTTAAAAGAAAGACACCATGCTTCTATACTTCACAATAACTAACGAAATGAAATATTTTTAAATAAAATTATTCAGTTTTCTAGTAGTTATTGATAGTAAAACTCTGTTAATAAATACGATAAATGGTAATATAACATAATACGTTTCTAAATAAAGAGAACTGAGAATATAGATAGACATTAGTCACTCTATTGACATGAACATGAGTGTCATAAGAGTCAGCTTTAGACAGCGTAAAATAATTTCATTTAGGAATAATAGCAAGATATTAATACTTGAAACTCTACTACTCTGAAATAAACTAATTCTTAATTTTACCCGAGTATTGGTTTGGAAACTTCCTAAATTTGGTGTACCTATTTAAGAGAATGAATTCGGAATTGATACATAGTGGCAATAGTCCGCATATCTTTCTAAGCATTTTTCAAATATAAATATTATGATTTAGAATTATTGTACAAATCCTTAATATGTGAACAATAATATAATATGTAAATGTACGAATGAAGTATGAAAGTTACTTTGAAAGTTACTGACTTGAAACCACTGCTATCATCAGACCCCCTTGAGAATTTCAGAAGATTCTTTTATGATCTTGAAAATGCACTGAGATAGATGCAATATGAACATTCTTTGCTTCTAACAGGGGAAGTTAATATATGCATAAGTATACTGGTAAACACTTGAAACATAGCATACAGACCCTTATTTCATACGTAGTACATTGCTGCACTTGCTTAAATCACAAAGTACAAGATGCACAATTAAAAGAAGATCAGGGGAAAAAGTGCTACCAAGGCTAGTTTTTCACATATTTGCATAAGTGGTTAACACTTAAAGATTAATAAGGGAAGAAGAGGAATCTATGTATCGTACAAGTAGGACTTATCTTGTGTCAGAAGCATGTGAAACCTTGCATGAAGCTTAAAGAAAGAATACCTCCGAACAGGGAATATTTTTTGTCAGAGATGAACTAAATGATTTTACACAAGCAAAGGTGAGTTAAATGAGTTAAATTAGATATTTCATTTATAAAATTACCTTAGCCTGCCACATAAACCAGAATTTCAACACGTCTGGTCTGCGTCCGCATTGCAAATACTTGTCCCCCACATCTAGATCTCTAGAATAAAATTTGTCTTTTTGGAAAAGATAAGGCGCCTGTTTAGAATGTGCTTCTTCAAAAATATTCTTGTGTTTAGTTAAAAGTAGAGAGCATTGTTGAGGAACAGCCAGCAATTTATGTGGATTAAACAGAATAGAATCTGCTCTTTGTATTCCTCTCAAAAGAACACTGTGCTTTTTACTAAATATCAAACCGCCTCCCCAGGCTGCATCTACATGCAACCACATATCGAATTCTTGACAAATATCCGCAATCTCAATCAAAAGATCGAACGCGCCCAGAACCGTTGTTCCTAAAAATAAATGTACAATAACGATTAAACTTATGATGCTTATATCATCATTATTACTACTGTATCGCTCAACAAACCTGCTGTAGCAGTAATGCAGAACGGATAATTTCCCTTTTTTTGTTCCTCCAGTATATTAACTTTCAAATCGTTAATATCCATTCTGCCATACTCATCAGTTTTTACGAGAATAATCTCTACATCGCAAACGTTTCCCCACTTTGAGACTGAGTAATGCGCATCTTCAGACGTAAAAAGTACCAGATTCGTAGATGGTATAGTTTTATTCTAAAAAACAAAAAAAAAATAAGAGATATTAGTTATTATATAGTATTAAATCTAAAATATTAGATACAAAGCCTAATTTGTAGGATATGTATTTTTTTATTCTATTAAAACTACTTGTTATATTTATCAAACGCGTTACAGTACATATGTTTCTAAATTATACAACAGATGTCTAATAAATATATAATTTTGAAAAAAAATAATTAGACGGTGAAGAGGAAGATACGTAAATCTAAATTTATAAGATAACAAAATTACATTTTTTAAGAGTGACATAAGCATCAAAAAATCTGTTCTATTTAT